ATAGAAATCTTGCGTTATGTCAGAGTAACTACCCTGCAATTGTTAAGATCCAATCGGAATTAGAACGTTCTGAAAGCAAGTTTTTTGAAATGAGAAATGGCTTGATATTTAGAAAGCATCAAGGGCAAGCATTATTTTACGTGCCAGTTATGCTGGAGACAAGTGTTATTCACAAGTACAATAAAATGGGCCACGTGGGTGTCTTAAAAACTATACGCAATATCTTGAATAGCTACTGGTTTCCAAAAATGAAGTTAAAGATCGAGAAACACATTAAAAGCTGTTTAAAATGCATTGCTTTTACTCCAAATACTGGAAAACCTGAGGGGTCATTACATAATATTCCAAAGGGAGATAAACCATTTGTAACTTTACATATAGATCATTTGTCTCCAACATCCAGAACGTCTTCTCAAAAAAAAAAATTACGCGTTTTTAGACGTTGATGCTTTCACTAAATATCTAAAATTATATGCGACGAAATCTACGAACGCCTCTGAAGTTATAAAGTGTCCCAAATCTTATTTTGAACATTTTAGTCGACCATTGCGTATCATCTCGGACCGGGGAAGTTGCTTCACGTCTAATGAATTTGAAGAATTTTTAAAAATAAATAATATACAGCACATTAAAATTGCCACAAATTCACCTCAAGCGAATGGTCAGGTGGAAAGAGGTAACCGTTTTAACAAGTTAACAATTTTACCAATGATAGCTAAAATAGCAAATGAAAAGAAAACTCAATGGTTTAATGTTCTTGGGGAAGTAGAGTATGCATATAATAATACTGTATCCAAAGCAACGAACGACAGTCCGAGTATGCTACTCTTTGGAGTACAGCAGCGAGGAGAAGTTATAGATAAATTACGAGATACGCTAGAATTAAAAGGACAATGCGGGAAATCTCGTGATTTATCTGAAACGCATGAACGAGCCGCCAAACAAATTCAGCAAAATCAAAATGCTAACAAGCGTATTTTCGATAGTAAACAAAAAGCGGTAAAAAAATATCTGGTAGGTGATAAGGTAATGATTAAAAATTTCGATAATTCGCTAGGGGCTAGGGGATAATTCGCTATTTTTTGCAAAAAATGATGCCGCGATTCAAGGGGCTATACCAAATAGAACGCGTACTCCGAAATGATCGGTATGTGATTAAAGACGTTGAGGGGTTTCAATTAACACAAACCCCATATCAAGGCACTTGAGAAGCGTCGAACATCCGACCGTGGACTCCAAATTAGGTTTAGAACGCTAAAAATTATGTTTAAAGTTAATCTGTTGCGCCTTGTTTTAAGTTTGTATTAACATTGTGTGTTGACTTTTGTCGCGGAATCGCCGAAGCACCATCGCGCCAAAAAACATATGAGTGTCCTCCGGCGACAGCGTTGCTGGGCACGTGATCGTTAGGCCCGATTTGGCTTGTCATGATCACGTACCGATCATGACCATGTGGCGCTGCCAGCGAACGTTCCCATTGGTCAGGTGTCGTTCCAGAACCGCCGCGGCGTGCTCGAATTTGAAAAGTCGCTTAAAAAACGAAACCCGTCTATCTATCGCTCTCGACTTCTCGCGGCGTTCAGTTCTGTTGTACATCAACTCTCGTCGGAATTCTCTGTCCGCGCCGATTGCAACCGATCCGCCCCGTCGTTACGATTTTCTCGTTGTTCGACTCTCAAAAGTCGATCTTCTCTGCGCCGGTTCAAATTCTCTTTTGTTACTGCGTAATCGTGTAAACTCCGAATATTAGTTCGTCGAAGCATTACGAATAATTAATAAAGTATTTAATTTTGTGAACTTCAACGCGTGTGATTTCCCTAATGCATCCGGTCCGTGAATCCCTCTCTGCGTGAGATCTCACTCGAGATCGAATCAGCGATTTCTCAACATAAAATTGGTCCTTCGAGCCGGATTCGCGCGACAGAGGTCATTATCGGAACAATCATTGCAAAACAGAAAAGCCACGGGCTAGTGAAAACGCACTTTCGCGGCCGCTCGAACGACGGATCCGAATTCAAGATTTCCGTAAAGCAAATCGCGTCAAGATTGTCCGCTCCGCGCAAGGATAAACGTTCTTATCCGGATACGAAGATCTCCAAACGCCTAACGTGAGGACCGTTGAGCGGCACAGAAGATTTCCGCTTTCGACACGAAAAAGTCGGTGCGTTTTCGTTAGCCAAATGGACAATCTTCTAGTCCAGCAGCAAGTGGCCATGAGGGTCGTGGAACGCGCCCTCGACAACTTCAAGAAGGTCGGCCGTGCGAACTACACCTGCGGTGGTGTCCGCAATCGCATTCTCAATCTCAACTCTGCCTACGCTCACTGCGAGCAACTTCACGCACAACTCATCAGTGTAGCAGCTCTGGAGGGTCGCGAGGCAGAGGAATATTTCTTGGAAAATCGATTCGAGAAAATGGAGGATGTCTACTACACTTCCTCGGACTATATGGCGAACATCCTGGCCGAACTCGAACCACCTCCGTCAAGTCCTGGCTTGTCGGTCAGTCAAGCTCAACCGGCCACTTCGGGCAAGATAAGTAGCAACTTGCCGCTGTTAAGTCTACCAAAATTCTCAGGCGAGTTAAGCGAGTGGGAATCCTTTCGGGATCAATTTCGCGCAATCGTTATCGACAATAACGATCTCTCAAATGTATCGCGGATGCATTATCTCAGCTCATGTTTAAAGGACGAAGCGCGTAACGTCTTACGATCGTTGCCCATTACGAATTCGAATTTTCCAGTAGCGTGGGGACTCCTTGTCAAACGGTACGACAATAAGCGTCGACTCGTGCACGAACACATTCATGCGCTTCACAATCTACCTACTGTAAAAACCAATCCGCGTCGGAACTTGCGACTCTACACGATAAAGCAACTCTAGCTATTCAAGCGTTAAAGAATCTACAGCGTCCAGTCGAACACTGGGATGATATGCTCGTTCATTTAATCGTTCAACGATGTGACGAATGGACTCGCGAAGCGTGGGAGTTAAAATTAGGCAATACCACGGAGTATCCATCCTACGCCGAATTAGAGGGTTTTCTTGCTGCGCGCATCCGCGCATTCGAAAATATTCTTCCGGTCAATTCAAGTAAACAACGAAAACATGCGAGCAAATCATCGGTTCAAAGTCACGCGGCGAGCGCAACAACATCGCAATGTTCCGCGTGCAAACAAACTCATATGCTCACCTCCTGTCCGGAATTTCAAAGCAAAACGGTCGCTCAGCGACGTCAAATCGTTACTAAGGCTCAGCGATGTTTTAATTGTCTCAGCGCGCGACATTCGACGACCGAATGTCACAGCAAATATACATGCCGCCAATGTCACCAGAAACATCATACGATGTTGCATGAGTCAACCGCGGTGACTTTAGTCGCTACGAGCGAACCTTCACCCACGACTAGCTCGACTGATACCTCTCATCAGCACAACGTCGCGTCACATCTCGTTTCGAATTCTCTATTCAACAAGTCACGAATCTTGCTCGCTACGGCGCGAATTCAAGTGAGCTCTTCGGGCCGCAAGGAAGTCGTCCGCGCGTTATTGGATCAGGGTTCGGTGACCAGTCTCATCACCGAGACTCTCGCGCAACGCTTGCGCGCGACTCGATCGCGAGTCGCAGTCTCTATAACTGGAATCGGGGGCGCCGCGTCGACCGCGCGACACGCCGCTACGATTGCCGTTTCTCCGCGCTTCGGCTCCGAGCCATCGTACTCGACGGCGGCTCTCGTATTACGTTCGCTAACGAAATACATTCCACCTCACGCGCAGAATGTTAACTCGATCGCTCATCTGCGTGATCTGGAATTAGCGGATCATAATCCATCGAGCGCCGATCCGATCGAAATGATCATTGGAGCTGATCTCTACGGGTCGATTCTGCGCCCGGGGCTGCGCTCGAGTTCATCGAGCGAGCCAACCGCGCAGAATACAATATTCGGTTGGATCATTTCCGGTCCTCTTGGGAATACTGATTCGCACCCCGTATCGGTGTCGGTTAATCACACGTCGGTGACCTCTCAGCTCGACCAAGAGCTCCGACGTTTTTGGGAGATCGAAGAACTTCCGAAAAGTACCTATCTCACGCCCGAAGAAATTCGCTATGAAGCTCATTTTCAAGCCACGCATGCGCGTAACGCGATGGGTCAACACGTCGTCCGATTGCCATTCAAATTGAGCACTCCGTTAAATATCGGTGAGTCGCGCGCATCCGCCCTTGCTGTCATGTCGCGGCTCGAAAATCGTATGCGATCTAAACCGAACCTCGAATACCGGGACTTCATGCGCGAATACGAAGCTCTCGGGCATATGGAGAAGGCTTCAGAAACTCCTGCGCCTTCTCAGACATATTACATCCCGCATCACGCAGTCATTCGCGAGCACAGCAGCACGACGCGCCTGCGCGTTGTATTTAACGCGTCTAATCCGACGTCGAATCGGTCGTCGCTAAACGATCATCTCATGATCGGGCCAAAGTTGCAAACCGATTTGCGCGAGGTTATAATGAGATGGCGACAGTATCGTTACGTGTACACGGCCGATATCGCCAAAATGTATCGGCAGATCATCGTCGACTCACGCGACGCTGATTACCAGCGGATACTGTGGCGATCATCACCGTCCGAACAACTGAATGAGTATCGGTTACTCACAGTCACGTACGGTACAGCATGCGCTCCCTATCTCGCGCTTCGCGTAGTCAAGCAGCTCGCTCTCGATGAGGGCAAGTCCTTTCCGCTCGCGGTCCCGGTCCTGCGCGACCACATTTACGTGGACGACTGTATCTTTGGCGCGGATGATCAGCCCCTCGCGCGGCACATCCGGAATCAGGTTACCGCACTTCTCGCCCGGGGTGGTTTCCTATTGCGCAAATGGGCCAGTAATTGTCCCGCATTACTCGCCGATCTCGATCCGAGCGATCACGGCCTCGCTCAAACTAAGGCGCTTCAAGAAGACGCTAACTTCAAAGTGTTGGGTATCGCGTGGGCTCCCCACACCGATGCGTTTCATTTCGCAGTTCAACTATCGCCATCCCCACCGGTTACCAAGCGGTCAATCTTATCGATGATCGCGAAGCTCTTCGATCCAATGGGGTGGCTCACTCCCGTGATCATTACTGCCAAAATCATGATTCAAAAACTATGGGCAGTCAAATGCTCATGGGACGACCGCATTCCCGATAGCGTTATGCAACAGTGGATCGCATATTATTCACAACTCGCTCTTATCAAAGAGATATCGCTACCGCGATGGAACGACTACGGCCCGGACATCGCGTATTGCGAACTGCACGGATTCGCCGACGCCTCGTGCACCGCGTATGCCGCTGTAGTATATCTGAAAGTAGTCTCTCTCGCTGGCGCCGTTGCCGTATCACTGGTAACCGCGAAATCGAAAGTCGCCCCTATCAAGCCTCTTACTATTCCTCGGCTGGAACTGTCAGCCGCGGTTCTGTTAGCGAGAACCATATCATTTGTGAAATCGACACTGAATATCGCTAACGTATCGTGCCACTGTTGGACGGACTCGACAGTGACTCTCGCATGGCTTCGCCATTCACCGTCGCGTTGGAAAACGTTCGTTGCGCATCGCGTCAACGAAGTACAGACAACTGTCCCGGACGCCGTTTGGCGTCATGTCGCGACTCAGGAAAATCCCGCGGATCCCGCGTCTCGTGGACTTTCCGTCTCAGCACTCAGGGCGACACCCCTATGGTGGCACGGCCCTGAGTGGCTCAAGTTACCCGCGGATCAATGGCCAAACAGTCTTCAAGGACCGCTTGAAACTTCGCTTGAAGAACGTGCGAATATTGTAACGCAAACTCTTCAGGCGACTAGTCATTGGGACTTGGCATCGCGTTACTCGTCCTGGCCAAAGCTTCTCCGCGTTACAGCATACGTTCTTCGATTCGTTGAGCGGGCGTCGCTCCTATTGGTGAAGCCAGCACGGCTTCCGACTCGCCGCCGCCTCACACACTGATCGACGTGCGTGACTACGACCGCGCGCGAACATTTTGGTATCGGGTGATACAATCAGAGTTGTTTCCCGACGAGCTCCGTCGATTAAGCGAGTCCAAGGCCGTACGGAAATCAAGCAAGCTAATCGCTCTCAATCCGTTCTTGGATGCGCGTGGTGTGATTCGCGTTCGAGGCCGAAAATCCGAGCTTCCCGAAAAGGCAAAAAATCCAATAATTGTGGGGGCTCACCCACTTCTCACACTCATTATTCGCCACGCGCATCTAAGTTCATTACATGCCGGCTGTCAACTGACACTGCATGTACTGCGCGAAGAATTTTGGATACTTCGCGCTCGACAAACCGTTCGCGCGGTTTTATACCAGTGTATCCAATGCACGCGTGAACGGGCGGCCGTACCGCAAGAATTAATGGGAGATCTCCCCGAGATGCGCATTCGCCCCGTATCACGCGCCTTCGTGCACTGCGGACTGGACTACGCTGGCCCTATCAATGTCCGCACGAACCCAGGTCGAGGATACAAATCTCGCAAAGCATACATCGCGATATTTATTTGTATGACCGTCCGCGCAGTTCATCTTGAGCTCGTCAGCGATTACACTACCGACGCGTTTCTCGCCACGTATAATCGGTTTTGCGCCAGACGCGGTCAACCGACCGATATCTACTCCGATAACGCAAAAAACTTTAGGGGAGCTGATCGCGAACTAACGGCGGCATTGCATGCCGTGAAAAGTGATTCACGCATCCGCGACAAGCTATCGTATGATGGAGTCCGATGGCACTTCATTCCTCCGTCCGCGCCCCACTTCGGGGGCTTATGGGAGGCCGGCGTTCGAAGCGTCAAGTACCATCTTAAACGTGTCGTAGGCGCGCATACGCTCACGTTTGAAGAGCTTACGACACTGCTCTGTCAAATCGAAGCATGCCTCAATTCTCGTCCGCTTGCGTCAACTTCCGAAGTCATAGATGACTACTCTGCGCTCACTCCGGGGCATTTCTTAATAGGCAGTGCGATAACCGCGGTACCAGCCCCCTCGCTACTGGAAATTAAAGAGACCCGTCTTACGCGATGGCAATTGATTAACCAAATGCGGGAAGTCATATGGAAAGCATGGTCCAATGACTATTATAATGAATCTCCATGGTTTGCAACAGCGTTCGAAGTGGCGAGTCGCTCGAAATCTCGCCAGAGTCGGACGAGTCGTATTATTACGCGATCCCCTCGCACCACCTTGTCGATGGGAGCTCGGTCGCATCGTAGAATGCCACGCCGGCGAGGACGGACTTACCCGCGTTGTCACTGTCAAGACAGCTCGGTCTTCGTATCAACGACCAATCGTAAAGCTCTGCTTCCTACCGGTCGATCTCGCGGAAGCGACCAACACGACTTCGTCAACCGAAGCATCCCACAACGGGGATCATTAGCTGTAAATAGATTGTAAGGAATTTTCGTAATCGTCGATCGCTCATCGTCATAATTATGTGCCATGTATTATCGTCCGTTTGTCTCTTTTACGTCATTACGCGTATCCGTCAGCGTATCACTTGGCCAATCAAGGTCGATTAGATAAAACTCATTTCGACACCGTCTTAGGACGGCGGGCGGCTATCATACGGAACCTCTTCATTCGGATCTACGATCCGAGGCGGGCGGTATGTCGCGGAATCGCCGAAGCACCATCGCGCCAAAAAACATATGAGTGTCCTCCGGCGACAGCGTTGCTGGGCACGTGATTGTTAGGCCCGATTTGGCTTGTCATGATCACGTACCGATCATGACCATGTGGCGCTGCCAGCGAACGTTCCCATTGGTCAGGTGTCGTTCCAGAACCGCCGCGGCGTGCTCGAATTTGAAAAGTCGCTTAAAAAACGAAACCCGTCTATCTATCGCTCTCGACTTCT